CGACAGGTCCACAGTCTCTTCCAAAACAGTTTCTCCACTTAATGCGATCTTCTGTTTTTGGAAAGAGACTATCCAGGAAAAGTGATAATGTGGTAGTTTTTCCATTTGCTTTCCACATCGCAGTACAACAGCCGTTCAAACCACTCTGGTCACGCCTGTTGCTATACGAACTTGAACCATCTCGAGCATCATTTGCTCTGTGCTTCAAGTCGCTGCTTCCGACATCAGTTTTTGGTGTCTCTCTTCGTCTGATGCCTACCCTTTGACCTGTCCAGCAAGGGAGGCCCTGCCAGTAGCTACGCTACCGCTGATATAGCTCTCAGGGTCCTTGGCATACTCAAACCCCCTGACCACGATAAGGTGGAGACACCAAGGAGGGAATCCACATGAGATAATGGAAACGAAATTCCAAAAGAGATTTCCTGTGAATGGTTTACAGTTATGTGGTCGGGTTATAGCGCAGCCATATTACGTCATCGCTCGCCAGTCATGTGTCGTGTATAGTGCTTGGAAACCCCAAGGACAATTATGACATAGCGAGCATTTCGTACTTCAATTTTATGGCTTTCCGTCACTCACAAGTTAGTTTGATGTTACGTACATTATTAACATTACAGAATCCACATATTCCTGCCAGTTTTAATATGTATTTTGTAATCAACAAGTGTGTAACACCGGTCAAAGTTTGACACTTCTCTGGCCATTATCTCCGTAACCGTTCAACTTTGGACATAGGTGTTTTGGGTTGTATCGGCATACTTTAACATAAGGAACACCCTCCCGAAGTTTGGTCCATTCCTCCTGGGACACTCTGTATAATATGAACTATATATGTAATGACTAAAAATGGCCTTAAATTGTGCTCTATATGAATAACAATTTTATGGCTTGCCTGTGGGAGTTAATAAGTCACCCAGATACTTCTGTAATACATACCTTTATGAGGAATGGGAAGAGTCTCTGCCACGACTCCGTCCACAATGTCATCTACTGTTTCACTGGGGCTGTCTGCACCACTCTGACTATTCTGTGCTGACAGGGAACGCTGGGTTGTGGGTGAGGCTGATTTTATTGTACTGTCTGGCTGGGAATGGGACACCCTGTATGAAGGGGTCCTTGAGCGGGGAGAAGGGGAGGACCCCCGTGAACGAGGACAATGATCTAATGGTGACCGTGAATTGTGAGGGTGATATGGAGGAGTACAGCTGGTAGGTGTTGCTGTTCCAATTACGTGGGAGATGCATTCATCAATATTGCTCTTCAAAGCCTGAAAATGAACAGATAAAAAATGCAGTCAGCAAAACGTTGTCTCCTTAAATGAAAGTAGAATAAATTGGGTATTATTTTAGACACATGATTTCAGGGACATTTCTGCTTCTCGGACTTCTACAAATACTGCAAAGTTTTTTCAGTCCATGTCTGTTACCTGAAGTTCCAGCTAGCTATGTCTGTCAAATTCTATGAATAAACCTAAAGGACACCATGACCAAGGAAGGCGATGAAAAAAATGTAATGAATATGCGAAGTAAGATCAGGCTTAACTGCCCTTACCATGGAGAGGAAGAGGATCAGAAGAAGACTCTGAAGGTTCAATTTCATCACTGCAGTTTTCTTAGCACATACTGTTCCATGCTTAAGTCTGTGAGAAGTGTTCATTGCCTATACACATGTGCAACAGCTTTAACCAACTTCACATACAGCTACCTTTCTTTCAAAACCATTTTACAAACCTAACATGTGTAATCATTTAGAGAAAACCTCTGATTCAAATCACTACCACCAAAAATATGTTACGCCTTAACCTACAGATGAAACACTTGACTTTGTATATAATATAAATTTCCAATTTTCAAAATGATTACCACAAAATCTCTTCACAGAAATCTTGGCCAGACATTTGGCTAAGAGGTAGGCAGCAGCCCCAATGACGCTCAAAATGGGCCTCAAGGGAGCCCCTTGTCTGTGCATGTAGATCTTTGGAAACCTGTAAACCCTTGGCGGCCTTGGGGTCAAAGTTGTTGGTAGACCTCCGCAGAAAGAGAAAATCTCTCACGAGAAGAATCGCCTTGCACTCTACAGACTCAGCAGGGTCCTTCTTCAACATTCTGTAAGCTTGGGCCTCCAGAAGGGCAGTACCGAGTACTATGGTTGTGTTGCCCTTGTTGGCACGAAGGATGGCAAGCTCCTCATGGGCTTTCAGGACTCGAAAAGACCTCCTACATGTACCAGTCAGATTGTCCTCGGGCTCACATGAACCTTTCATGATCCTGATGGTTTCCTGCTGGGCATCTTCACCAACCTCCTCAGGCAAGGCACCTATTGTTTTCTCCCTCCCACACAGGTGTCCTCAATAGGCACTACTGCCAGAGTTACATCATAATTCAGACCTCTCCCCAAGCTGAACAAGCTACGTCTTCCAACAGCAGGTAGCTTAGTGATGACATCTTCCTGTTGCCAAGGAGGAGGAGTGCTGGCCCCTGTGCAGGTGCTGGAATTCCATACACTGCCTGGTTTTAGTATCAGCAACACCATTCAACAGCTTCTCTTACACAACACAAATCAGTGAGGTCCCAGTCAGCCAACAGTTCACCAGAGAAGCACAGGTATAATCCAAGGTAGTCATGGGAGGAGACATCCAGCAATCTGGTATAGTGGACGTGCTCATGAAGCAGACAGAAGCTAGTGCATCTATAAATCCTTCTGGCAACACTGGAGCATATGTAGTGCTGGAAGTGAAAGGTGGAATGGTGCAATGACCCCTGTGCCTCAGGAGGAAGGCTAGGGTAGTTAGAAGTCTGTTTTTCTTGACCAAAGCTTCTCAAATTTGTAAACATAGCAATGAGTAAAGCTCCCCATGGAAGAACACAGCATAGGATTTGAGATTCCCACAGAGGTGGTTATGATTAGTTCTTTCATCTGGGACATAATGCCCTGAAGTCCAATGAACATCAATCACTGTTCTGGAGGAACATGTCACAAGCTTATTTGCTTGCTGCATAATTCATGCTGGCTTCTTGACTGGCTTACTCTTCAACCCAAAACATGAAGGCAACATGTTCCTCCAAAATGTTGGCTAACTTCAATGGACTAAATGATACTACATCTCAGAAGACAGAACTCTTCATAACCACCACTGTAAGAACTTCAAATCCTACATGTGGACAGAGAGACAGAAACCATCTTCCATATGTGCACTCACATCATGCACTTTATGCAAAGAATATGCAACAACCAGACAAAGCACATGTTTCACAGTCAGCCTCCAGTACTAATCTCTACTTACTTTACAGATGAGCCAAAGAATATACAACTGAAAACAAATCAAAATTAATATTATCAAACATAATACAACACAAATTAGACAAAACAGAATTACAGAAATATAAGCATTTACCTCAAACTCCTGATCATTAAGGAAATTTGTATTCTGAGGTTCACAGACTGTCATGAGGAAATCCAAACCCTGATTAGCCCATCTGGGTCTTAACCCCCTTCCTCGTTCACAACGATCCTTGACAAAGCACATCCACTGCTGTGCAAAACTGACCATCCCCCGCGCCAGCTTCTCATGAGCATCTCCTGTCACTAAACGGCATATTTCTTTGTGGTACTGTAAAAATTAAACAAAACATTTACTAAGGATTCTGTTAATGGTGTATTACACTTGGGATTACAGAGTTTCTGAAATTCATCTATCATCTAACATTCTAGAAGAACACAGCATTTCAAAAACTGAATTTCTTTCCATCCTCAGATGAAAAGGTAGGGGAGCCAATTACTCAACTGGNAAGGGGGAGGGGGGGGGGGGGGGAGAACATGGAAAGCCTGTCAGCAAACCAAACCCTTGTGTCAAGATTCAAATCCACTTTGCCCAGATACAAAGCATAACCTTTAGTCAGTCTGCAATTACAGTATGCTCCCAATAATATGTGCTAAAAAAGGGGAAAGGATGCAAGAATAATAAAAAATAATAAAAGCAGAGTAAGCAAAGTCGTCCCTGTACATAATTAAGAACTATGCCATGAAGGCATATGGGGGAGTGGATTTACAGATCCACATTTTCTTGACCTCAGCATTAGTTGGAGGTGAGTGGTCAGCTTCACGCCTAGGCTAATTTACCCTTGGGGATAGAACCCCTGGAACCCATTGGATAGGAGACTGGGTGGATGCCAGAGCCAGTCTAGACAACCTGGAGAAGAGAAAATTCTTGACCCTACCAGGACTCGGAATTCCAACCCGTTGTCCAGCCTATAGGCAGCCACTATACCAACTATGCTATCCCAGCTCTTAATAAAAAATAATAATAATCATAATAAAATACATGGATAATCCAAGTTTTGAGTGTGATCAGGAGACCTTGGTTACTACTGAATATATAAATTCATAAATGTACTCACAGCATCCAACGTTTCATTTTGCTCTACAAGTTTCACTGGAAGCATTTTTTTGCTTAAATGCATATTTGGCAAGTTCTGACAGGTAAGCATAGAAATGCATGTCTTAAAGTAAAGCAGTTATTAAAACTAACATTCTAAATGAAAACTGAAGAAGCTCACAAATTCTTCATCCAATTATCAAATATCGAATTTCATGAAGATCCATCCAGCATTTCTAAAGTTGTTTCACAAGCACAGAAGGACAGACAGACAATGAGCTTAACAGGTGCTCTATAGGGTTCTGATAACTACAAAAAGCTGCAAACCGACCAAAATAATCCACCAATGCATAATTGGGAGTGCAAAATATCTGGTTTCCAGCCATTATATTTAATTATAGTAATAACTTATAATGCTATAAGTAGTACCCATTGTAATATTATTACTGAACTTGCCTCAAAACCGAACTTGTATCCCTGATGCAGTATTTCTCTACACCGTGACAAGAGTGCACTTTTCTCCATGTCATCCACTTCTGACATATCTCGTACATCACAGGTTTCTTCCGCGCTTATCAGAGTTGAAGTTATGGAAACTCGAAATGCTAATATTTCATCCTACAGAAGAAACATTATGACACTGCATTCTTTCACAACACTGACATAATTCACACAGCTCTCAGCGATACAATCATTTCAAAAACCAACACTTTTGCTATACGGATTGTGAAGATAATGGCTGATATGTTAATTTCAAAAAAAGAAAATTGTGAAGGAGTGGCTAATATGGTCTGCTGAAGTTCTATCTTAAGAAAATAACTTTACCTAGCACAGGAGAGGTGAGGAAAACCAGGGGAGAAGCTGATTGTGTTAGGATTGAATTAATGTTTTGCTTCCAAATTTTTGGCACACAGAAAGGTAGAGCTTCAGTATTTTATTCATATTTTAGCAAATACTAATAGATCAAAAAGCATTCCTGATAATATTATGAAAAATAACAAAATGAGGATTCATATTTATTTCCTCATATGGCATGTAGTATACACAACAAGCATTAATTATTTTGTTAAAAACTCTTCTCCCCTTAAACAATTTATCATCATCATTAGTGGGGTGAGACTGAGTCCACTTGGTACTGTGGCCACTACTGGACTACTGTACCAGCCCCAAATGACAGATAATGGTGATGTTGAAGCAATAGGTGAAATGAAGATTGGCAGGGGAAGCCGAAGTACTTGAAGAAAACCTGCCTCAGTGTCATTTTGTCCACCACAAATCCCAAATGACCAGACTCAAGCTCGAACCCAGGCCACCACAATGGGAAGCCAACAACTAACTGCCTGAGCTATGGCACAGCCTCTCTCTAAAACTAAGTCAAAACAATTTATGTAGAAGATGGATCACATTAAGAGGGATGCAGGAAGAACAGTAGTAATCTCAGGATTACACAAGGAAAACTCTAGCAAGAAGACAAAAATGAAACTTTGGAAAATGACAACCCACAATAGGAGAAACATTTGTGTAAAATAATGACAACACAGAAATTCATAATTTTATGGATTTTATACTGGACTGTTCTCATCCTGAAACAACTTAAAATTGTGATGCAAATAATCTGTTCTCAATAGGATGAAGTTTGATGAACACTGCAAAATAAAATGTTTGTAAGTTTGCAACAACCTTAACACTTCGCAGACCGGACACCTAGGCCTAGGCGTTTGGGTTTTAAACGTGGCAGACCGGTCGCCTAGATTTAGGCTTTTAGGACATGTTATGTTGCAACACACTATTCCTCGCTTTGGTGGCAACGTGTCTGTAAAAGTACTGCGTAGCTGACCTTTGGAACGTTTGTTTTCCGAGTCAGCAACGCAACCACTCTCTATTCCCCTCTCACTCTAAAGAAAAGTCCCTTTGTTCAAGTCGAAGCTTCTATGTGTGAGGCAAGATATTCTCAGTGTCAACATGGCTCAGACACGAAAGCAGTTGAAGGCCGCGCGAGCTCTCAGAGAAGAAGAAATCTGTGATTTGATCTCTGATGAGTTATCTGACTTGCCAACTGCTTCGTCTTCTGATAGCGAGGGCAGCGTCAGTGGCAGTGGCAGTGACAGGGGCCCCCAAAATATTGTGACCAGAAGAGAAAGTGAAAGTGACAGTGAGAGCTCCAATGAAAAATTTTAGTTCATAAAATTAATTAGGAGATTTTATATTAATTTTTAAAGTGAACAGTGTACAAGTTAGGGTAGTAGGTTTAAAAACGCCGGTCGCCAGGGTGATTTAAATATTTAAATCACCAGTCCGCGAAGTGTTAAGCCACTTACCTTCAGTTCTTCTAAAGCTTCCGCAATTACAGCATTACATTGTCGGCTAATTCCTTCTTTAAAAGCTCCATTCTCTAGATCTTTTCTAAGAGTTTTGGAGAAAGCAACAGCTTTTAAAGCTTTCTCCCGAGTTTCATTGAATAGAATTTGAAATTCTCGACACACTGTTAACATTGCTTGCCTGCAACAAAGGGCAAAAATATATTTCATACTGAATATGTGTTTCACTGTGAAATCAGATGAATGGCGGTGTGATTATGAATGATAAATTAATGAGTTGCAGTAACACAGTCGTACTATCAGAAAGTTCCCAGACTGTTATTATTGCAACTGCCTTGGTGAAAGGAAATGAGAGAGAAGGCCAAGGTCACACTTCTGCAAGTCTACTGCATCAATCTGTCACATGACACTGCATTGTGAACGCACACTGTTTTTACATGAATACGTTTCTGACTTCATGTTTCATTTTGTCTGCGATGGATGGCAAAATTTAGCAATGTATTGCATCAAGTTTTGCATGAAGCTCAGTAAACCCACTACTAAAATCCTTGAAATGTTTCATAAGGCTTTTGGAGAACATTTTTTAAGCTGGACAATGGTTTTCAAATGGCATTTACATTTCAAGGCTGGTTGAGTGTCAGTTGAAGATGACAAATGTTCAGAGCAACCACCCATCAAAATGAAAGAAAATGTTGAAAAAATTCGAGAACTTATCCACAAAGACCGTTGCCAAACAATCCATGAGCTCTGAGACACTGTTGGGATTAGTTATGGAGTTCGTCAGGAGATCTTAACCGAAAATTTTAACATGCACTGCAATGCTGCAAAGTTTTTCCCCAACTCTTGACAAATGATCAAAAGCAATGATGCATACTCATAAACATGTGTCTTAAGCTACAAGAGAAGGCTAACAAGGACCCAACTTTAATCTCTAGGATCATAACGGGTGATGAAATTTGGATTTACAGTTATGATCCAGAAACACAGCAACAATCATAGCAGTGGAAGACCCCACAATCACCAAGAGCAAAAAAGGTGTAGCAGGTCCAAAGTTCAACAAAGAGCATCCTCATTGTTTTTTCGATGTGAAGGGGATAATTCACCATGAATTTGTTCCTCCTAACACTGTGGTCAACTCTGACTTTTACTGTGATGTTTTGAGATGCTTGAGAGAAAATGTGCAACGAAAAAGACCCCGTGATTTCGCTTTGTTTCCCAAATTGAAAATGAAAGTGAAGGTATGACATTTTGAAACAGTGTCTGACATCCAAAGGGAAGTGGTAGTTGATAGCATTAAGGAAAATGACTTCCATGGTGCTTTAGAAGCACGGGAAAAAAGACGGGACCAATTTATGTTCCCAAGGAGACTATTTTGAAGGAGATGGCAGCCAAAATTGAGTAAATTAAGCCAGCATTTCTTTTCTGATCTAGTCCAGGAACTTTCTGATAGCACCTCATATACCAATGACTGGACTTACAGCAGTGGTTCCTTTACCTATGATCTGTGTAATGGACACCTATACATGGTTGTTTTTATGGTTCATTTTATGATGCTGTCAGTATCTCAGACTGCTTCTGGAAGAAAAGTGGTTGTGGCCTAATAGAGGTATTTTCCAAGCACTTGCCTGGAGGGAGTGAGAAAAACCATGAGACGTCAGGACAGATGGTGTCCCTGTTGAGATTCAAACTAAGCACCTCCCAAATACAGGTCAAGAACTTCACCATAAAATCAATCTACTGAGCATGTACATTGTTTTGTTAAGGTACATGGCCATATTACAAAGTAATGGAATCTGTTATTCATACTGATGATTCTTTGCAATTATGTACTAACTAAAAGTGGCATATAGGAAATTCATATGCATGTTCCAAAGTGATGATGTTTATTAAAGGAAGAATCTGACATTAGGTATAGTAATCATCAAACTTACTTTGGTGAAGAGTCATCATCTGATGTGTCACAATTCCACATATTCTTTTTCAGCTGCTCAGCTCCTGACACAAGTTGATCTCCAATGGCTCCTATCATTCTGCTTGCTATATGACTGCAGAAAAGGAACAGCAAATGTTCCATATGATTACAAACATGCACTGTAATGAAGGCTAAACAGGGGTACAACAAATGATCCATAAACGGTGTAAGATTTAAGGTTTTCATGCCAGTGACTGAATGCTGTCTTCTTGGTTGTGGCGCCACATAGATCTTGTATGAACCGATGTTTTGGAGGAACGTATCACCTACATCTTCAGGGAAGAAAGATCTGCAAGCAAGGAACCAGCATGAGTAGGTGTCTGCAGCAATACGTTCCCCTTAAATGCCGGTGCACACAAGATATACATGGCACCACATCCAAGAAGATGGCATTCTTCAATCCCTAAAAGATGTTTGAACACCACAGGTTATACAACACCAACTGAGACACTGCCGGAACTGTAAGGAGACAGTAATGGCCTATTTGATGGTAATATCTTAGCATTCATCTGGACAGAATGAGGAAAATTACATGAAAACCTTGGTCAACAGTCAACATCTGGGATGAGACCCAAACTGGGAACTCCCAAAGGTAAGCATACTACTCTGTCCAAAAAGTATCGGACCTTGGGCCGGGAAAAAAAAAGGTCTGTATCTGAGTGGTTACAATACCTAATCACCTTCAAAGTAGGTCCCTTGTGACTCCACACACTTAGCCCAGCGGCCCTTCCATTGCTGGAAGCCGTTCTGGAAGGCTTCTTTTGGGATGGCATGCAGCTGCACAGTCGCGTTCTGTATGATGTCCTTGCAGCTGTCAAAACGGCAACCTTTTAGCGGTGTCTTCAATCTCAGGAACAGCCAGAAATCACACAGAGCCATGTCAGGAGAGTAGGGAGCCTGGTGAACCTGTGGAATGCCGTGCTTGGCCAGGAAACCCTGGATCAGGTGCGCTGAATGAACTGGGGCATTGTCATGATGCAGCTGCCAGTTGCATGCGTCCCACAGCTCTGGTCTCTTGCGTCAAACTGCATCACGAAGATGGCGGAGGACTTTTTGGTAGTACTCCTTATTGACAGTCTGGCCTAGTGGTGCGTACTCATGATGCACAACACCCCGGTAATTGGAAAAAACAGTCAGTATCACCTTCACATTGCTCCGAACCTGTCGTGCTCTTTTGGGCCTTGGGGATGTTGGATGCTTCCACTGTGACACCTGGACATTGGTTTCTGTGTCATATCCGTACACCCACGACTCGTCACCAGTGATCACAGTCTTCAGGAACCCAGGATCCCTGTTGGCGCACTCCAGCATGTCCTGCGCAACCTCAAGACGGAGTTGTTGCTGCTCCGGCGAAAGCAGCTTGGGCAGAAATTTTGCCGCCACTCTTCGCATGCCCAAATCCTCAGTTAAAATTGTGTTTGCAAAACCTCTGCTGATCCCAACCTCATCAGCAAATTCATGGATGGACAAATGACAGTCCTATATGATCAGTGTCCATGCTTTTTCAATGACATCAGCACTGACGGTCTCCCGGAACGCTGTTCACTCTCTGCCGACATATGGCAATGTTTAAAGTAGTTGAACCACTCTTTAATTTGAGTGACCCCCATTGCATCATCGCCGAAATCCTGCTGAATTTTGTGAATTGTTTCTGCTTGGGTATCCCCAAGTTTCTGACAAAACTTAATGCAGTATCTCTGCTCCAAGCGTTCTTTCATCTTGAGCGAAACGAGAATGCAACGAACACGCGTTACACCACTTTGCTATCTGGCAGCCACAGACGCATCCAGCAGTGTTGCAGGTCAGCAAAAAATCATGCATGTGCATGAAAGCCCCTTCTACCACAACGCTCAGTTTCCCCACCCCTTTGTCCATTACTTACAGCGGAAAAAAATAAAGTCGGATACTTTTTGGACATACGGTAGAGCACTAACACTACATCATATCTGAGCCGCCACAACAGAATGATTCTTTAGAACATGACTGGAAAATAAGTTCCAACATAAAGCAAGATTACACATTAATTCCTCATACAAAACAGGGAAATAAGCAAATGCATTGACTGACTGAGTGAGCTTACCAAAAGGTATTGCTTGCCATTCCCTCCCCACCAGGGATTCTTGGACAAGTTGTTCTCACAAAGCACCATTCCTCCTCCAAGAGGTTCTTCTGATAACCCTCCTGTTGTACCATAAGCACCCACTGCTGCACATACTCAAGGTAAACCTAAATACAAGACAGGGCATCTCTGTTCATTTCTCACTTTCTGCAACTACACAATCTAAACACAAAGCATTTTACCAGAAGAATGTTGGTGCTCACCATACACACACACACACACACACACACAAAACCATGTAGAGCACACTGAAAATATTAAATGTGTTCATGATGTTCCTCAAATGAGAATAGCTTGACCCATGCATGGGTGCAATCCATATTTTTGGGTGTACCAGGTGGCTGTGTCAGTTCAGTGATGAGGCTATGGATTAGATGACTGACAAATCAAGGTTGAATTATTGCCAAGAACAAAGATATTTCTCTTTTCCAGTGTCCATACTGACTCTATGGTCCACCCAGTCTCCTAAACAAATGGTAGTGGGGTTCTTTCCTGGGGAGAGGGGTAAAGAATCAAAAAACACCAAAGAGTAACCCAAGAAAGAATCAGTATAAAATAGTCAGAAAGCAGAAAATGGAGGTGATGTGTTCTTCTGAAATGCTGACTTTCACTGGACTACACAGCATTAAATCCTAGAGATGGAACACTTCACAGTCACCACTGTGAGAACCTCACATTTAGTAAGTTAAGTAAAGCTATCCCTGTAACAGGCCATGAAGGCCCATAGGGTTGTGAGATGTTGAGGGTCCCACATTATCTAGACAATCGGCACAAAGGTGGCGGTAAGGTTGTCAGCCTTACGCGCCAGCCGCACTTTACTCCCCAGGAAATTTATTTAATTAATTCCTGGTACTCATTTCTGTTAGAGGCTGAGTTGACCCCAGGTCCATAGTGCAGTTGGAAGGATTGAGTCAACTGAAAAAATCCAATGACCTCATCAGGACTTGAACCCATGACCTTCCTTTGGCATATAATTTTACCTCTGTGCAATTTGGTCTCCCACTCACAGAAAACACAGATAGAGGGAATTTTAGAACAAAGTGCTGAGGAAGAGGAAAAAATGAAGTAACAAGAACTGAGAAAATTATAAAATGAGGAATATCACTCCACACTGCCATTGTGTAGTCTAGTAGAAACTTACCAACATTTTGGAAGAACCTGATGCCTCCAGCAGGAGTAGGAGGCTGGACACATCAGGTTCTTCTGAAACACTGGTAACTTTCAACCAGATTACACAGTACCACATCTCTGAAGAAAAAAAGAATCTTCAGGAAGTTTCTTCATCACCTGAGTAACTATAGATTCTTAAAGGAAGATCCTGTATCATGGGAGTTTGTGCCAATTCACTGCACATATTTTCCCTATTTACTTTATTAAAATACAAACACACACACATACAAATATCAGGGCTTATGTTAATGAAACAAAACAAATTACATGACTTACCTTAAGCACAGCCTTCATACTCTGATCAAATTCAGATACTGCTGATTCATACAGATCCAACGTGTCCTTCTCCTTATCCCACAGAACAGTATGGATTAAAGTCAGATACCTCTGCCTGTGTAGCACAGCAATTCGGAGTCCTTCCTTCAATTCTCTCATTAACTGCCAACAAAACATGGAGACATGCAGTCAGTAAGCGACAGTAACAAGTTCACCCACAAAACAGATACTGTAAAAAATAATCCTAAAGCCCTTCATTTTACTATACAGATGGTGTAAAGATTAAAGGCCTACAATACCAGTTGTTGCGTGTTTGCTAGGCATCATGACAAGAAATTGTGTGGGTTCTCAGACTTGAATGAATATTGTGACATGTTGAGCTATGGATGACGCCCCCCCCCACCAGCCGTGATGCGCCGAGCGAAGCCGAAGTGAGCCGAAGTTAGCCGAGTCCTAGCATCCTGGTCGCTATGCAACGCGAGTCAACAGCGATGACGTCACCAAGGGTACCGCGGGTTGCTAGGCAGCGCGGGTAACCAGGATTGCGAGAGACGACGGTAGTAACAGCGGTTACTACCGCTAGTGTTGCTAGCAACACAGCGCCGTGGCCGTTTTCTGTATTGTCCGATCGAGGCTACATGAGGAGCAGCGAAGGCTATTCACAGTCAGTCCTCGAGCTACCTCCGAGTTAGTTCCGAGTTAGCCAGCAACCAGTCAGTTGTATTCTGGCATTTGGTGTGTAGTATTTGTGATACTGCAGATATCAGTAATTGTTATTTGTCACGTTATACGCCCAATACGCGACAATATTTATTGGACAGTCACTTTTATACTCACATTTACAGATACTCTCCACTTATAACATCCTTCAGACGTTTCTTCTTACATGTTACAACACTTCTGCTCTAGTCAGATGAGAACCATTCTGTTCTCTTGCTGAATACCAACTCTGCTCTTCTAAGGTCAAATGCAAAACTGAACTCATCTCTGTCCAACGTTGGACTCTTATAACGTGCACTCGGACTCAATAGGGAATGCCTTGTTGAAGGGTTAATTCTGCCCGTTGTTACGTAATGAATGTGGGAATATGTGTCTGCCTCAACAATTCGTGTGTAACAGTGAAAATCAACCCTGATCTCCTAATCCATTCCGGCTGTCTTGCGGCAAGCCACATTGCTCCCTTCTTAAGACTGTTCATCTTGAACAGCCTAACGGTACTTCCCTTTATTTCATCCACCCCCTCTTTCAAGGGTGCTCATCCTGAGCAGCTCCGTGATACTTCCAGTCACTTCATGCTCTTGTCATCTTTTTCTCATTCTCTCACTTTTGGTGAGGAGGCTGGTGCTTCTACATTACCGGCTCCTCCTCTGTTTCCTACTTCTTTTTTATTTTGAAGGGAGTCAACCTCTCCACAGTGTCCAATCCTTGATCTTCATAACCCAACAGAAGATCCAGCTATTCACTTCACGATCTCCGGTTTGAAGGTCTTCCCAAAGATTCGGCTGGCTGTCCTCTCGTTCCCAAGATGCAGCCGCCGTCTTATGTGCGGATCTTTCACTCCAGAGCTGCCCTCCGGATCCACTTGAAATCTCTTCCTGAATGTCCGCCCTCTCAGGGCCCCTCTTGCAACGTTATTCCTAGATTCATTCTTCCCAACAATGTGTCCCTTGCGCCGTGCCACTCCTGCATGGCTGGTCGTCCATTTCTTCTGGCACCCATCCTTGCCCCAGGTCCGTTCCTTCGGCATTCCTCACCACTCAGTAGCTAACTTCCGGTCCCTATGCCTCTTCTTCGGCCCTCTGACCAGCATTATTTTGGCATCTTCTATAGGGGCCCCATACTGTTATGCTGCCTCAAGTTTCGTGTCCACTGAGGTTGACTTTTCTTCTTCAAGACTTGTCTCCATGAGTTCCTTAAGCCTGATGTCTGTCCTGGCCTGATTCGCATCCATTTGTTTCCATCATTTTCCTGAGCTCCTCTAGGTCGGCTTTCCTTTCATCTCAGTCAGCCTTCCTGTCAGCCTCCATTTTGGCCAGCAAAACTTCTTGGGTGGCTTTTCTTTCTGTCTCCTCCTTTTCTTCCATGGCCTTCTGCATTTCCAATATCTGTTCCATGTCTTCAGTCTAATTCAGTCACTTCTTACAACAGCTGTGGCATGTTTAAGTCCAATCCTGGTCCAATAATTCGTTCCAGAATCCAATCCTATCCCACTTCTGACACCAGTTGTGACATGTTTGCTAGGCAATGTAACAATATCACTGCATATTTTATTGGCCGATTAAGGAATCTGATATAAGGGAATGCCTTCACTTACCTGACGAATACTCAACACTGATGGCTGGTTCGGTTTTTGTTCAAGCCGCATACGAAGGAACTCATTAATCATTTCAAGTGGAATACGTGACAGGAACATAAAAGCTGCACGGTACGATGGTAGACCAAGAGATTGTGTCTCATGGCTCCAAAAACCATACCGGCGTAAGTCCTCTTCCTCATCATATTCAGAAAGCTCGGCAGTCTCAACCAGAGTGATCTCTTGTTCGGAAGGCGAAGAATCACATTTTGAATCATCAGTCTATTAAAAACAGTCATAATTAAAAATGATATCCAGATCAACTGAATGAAATCACCTTTACAACTGACAATTAAAACAATTATATGGTGCTACACTGAAAGAAAGGGAGATTTTCACAACTTTACTAAATGTGAACTGCCTATGCTACAAGCCAGAAGGTCACTGGTGCAATTCTCGGTGAGGTAATTGGATTTGACAATTGAAAAAATCCTTCCAGCCATATTATGGCTCTGGGGTTGACTCAGCCTCTAACAGAAATGAGTACCAGGAATCTTCCTAGGAATAAAGGGCAGCCAGTCTGTAAGGCTGAAAACCTCACCGCCATCTGTGAACTGACTGTCTAGAAAATTTGGAAGCCTTGACATCTCACAATCCTATGGGACTCAATGGCCTGTAACAGGGACAGCTTTATCTTTTACCTTCACCTTTTAGTTATTTGCTGCATTATTGCAACAGTGCACACAAAGAGCCCAACTACCCAAGCACTGCATTCCTTCAATATTAATATATTACCCCCCAAATTAATATATAGGTGCCAAGATAAAAGGTTAACAAAATCTTGCTATTGCAGCCAGTGCTTAGGGCAACCAAATTCAAACCAAATTATTGGAAGCATTTTAATATTCTTCTTTTAACAGTACTGTCTCAACTACCAACATGAAGAACAGTGACAGTAATACATAAAAACTAGAAAGTCTGTTACAGTGCTTGAGCACAGTTGTGTTCAGTCCCACATAAAATGATCTGAATATGAACAAAGAACACCTTGCTGGAGTTTAGATAACAGAGTGATAACCCTGTTACACATTATGAATTAATTACGTTACCCCACAAAATTTTCATAAACCTGCAACTACTAAAAACCACTGGTACTCATGCTATAAAAATACAAAAATCATTATGTCTAGAACATAAAAGCAGTCCATTAACATAACTGTTCTGAGATGTATGTTGATAAATCACCTACACATGCTGTTCTCCATAGTTTCGTAACTGTTACCTCAAATACTTTCTTTTCTGGACCTAAACTGTCATACTACAAAATAACATGCAAGTTTTATTGAAACAATTTAAAAGGAAAATTCTTTTGATATGTCAATATCATTGATCATCTTATTTATTTATTTATTCATGGTTTATTTAATGATTCTGTCAATAGCTCAGACTACAATGTGTCAAAACATATGATAATTATCAAAAAATTAATTGGAAGGATTCTGAAGGAAGTAGTCATCACCTAACCTGAAGTAATATGTGGTGCAATCCAAAAGTTCCCGAAATATATTAATAAAAACTATTATATCTTACCTAGATCTTATTCGGCACCATCACCTTCAAAGTAGTCCCCTTGGGACCGCATACACTGATCCCAGCGTTTCTGCCACTTTTCAAATGCATCCTGGAAGTCTTTCTTTCTTAGGGTGTTTAGTACTGTCTGCGTTTCCACTTGAATTTCCTCAACTGTATCAAATCTTCGCCCCTTCAACTTGATTTTGATCTTGGGGAAAAGAAAGAAGTCGCATGGAGCTAAGTCTGGCGAGTACGGTGGGCAGGGAACAACTGCCATCTTGCTTTTAGCCAAAAATTTCTGCACAATCTAAGCCATATGCAGTCGTGCATTGTCATGGTGGAGTACCCAGTCTTTCGTGCGCCACTTCTCTGGACATTTTCTCATCATGTTCTCCCTCAAACGCCTTAGAACATCGCGATAGAACTCTTTATTGACTGTCTGACCAGGAGGGATGAACTCCTTATGAACAATCCCGTCAATATCAAAAAAACAGATCAACATGAACTTAATGTTGCTCTTTACTTGTCGAGCTTATTTTGGCCGAGGTGAAGACGGGCTCTTCCATTGCGACGATTGCTGCTTGCTTTCAGGGTCATAGCCATAAACCCAACTTTCGTCACCAGTGACAACCTTCGAAAGAAAGTTTGGATCCTCTTGAAGCTGCTGCTGAAGTTCCCTGTGGACTTCCAAGCGATGCTGCTTCTGTTCATTTTGCAGCAATCGTGGCACAAACTTCGCCGCAATCCTCCTCATGTTCAGTTCCTCTGACAAAATTCGTTGACGTGTACCATAATTTAGTCCCAAGGTGTTACAGAGGTCTTGGATGGTCAGTCTACGATCTTGCAGAATCAGATCCCTAACTTTCACGACATTTCCTGGTGTTTTGCCTGTTGACGGCTGTCCCAAACGATTGTCATCATCAGTCAATGTTCGGCCATTTTTAAAACGCTTATACCAGTTGTAAGTTTGTGTCTGGCCTAAACTGTTTTCACCAAAAGCTTGCTTCAACATTTGGTGCGTTTCTGCAGCGGTTTTCCCAAGTTTGAAACAAAACTTTATACAGACACGCTGCTCTCTCAGGTCAGCCATCGCAAAACCGCAAACTCACGGAAACACACAACAATGGAAATACGTTCACCAACAATAAACCCAACCACTCAACTCGACGCCGCTTGCCACACTGATTCAAGAAGGATGTGTGAGGAGACACCTAGCAGTATTTTGATGTACTCATAACCATTCGCGCACAAAATTCAAATATCGGAAACTTTTGGATTGCCCCACGTATATCTGCAATTGCCTAGAGAGGCTCAGGAAAAACAAAATAAAAAACTCAGTCAGGAAAGTTGGTCTCTGGGCTGGGATTTGAACCTGGGGCCTCTTAACACTTCGCAGACCGGATGCCTAGGCCTAGGCGTTTGGGTTTTAAACATGGCAGACCGGTCGCCTAGATTTAGGCTTTTAGGACATGTTATGTTGCAACACACTATTCCTCGCTTTGGTGGCCACATGTCTGTAAAAGTACTGCGTAGCTGACCTTTGGAATGTTTGTTTACCACTCTCTATTCCCCTCTCACTCTAAAGAAAAGTCCCTTTGTTCAAGTCGAAGCTTCTATGTGTGAGGCAAGATATTCTCAGTGTCAACACGGCTCAGATACGAAAGCAGATGAAGGCCGCGTGAGCTCTCGGAGAAGAAGAAATCTGCGATTTGATCTCCGATGAGTTATCTGACTTGCCAACTGCTTCGACTTCTGATAGCGAGGGCAGTGTCAGTGCCGGTGACAGGGGCCCCCAAAATATTGTGACCAGAAGAGAAAGTGAAAGTGACAGTGAGAGCTCCGATGAAAGTGCGAGTACTAGCATTGCGGGGACAGCCACACGGGGTAAAGTGGACAAAACACCCACTTTGGGAAAGTTTACTGGTGATCCAGGGGTGAGACAAATGCCATCGGACCCTACGCAAGTGTCTGAAGTAGCTGAACTGTTTTTTGGATTCCTTGGAGGGGAAGGCTTCATTGTTGAATGTATAATCCTGGGAAACTTACATAGTATGGCCTACTTGTTCATGTAGTCACAGAAAGCACTTCATGCTATATTGGAAATTTAGCAATTTATTCCGGTGAAGGCAATAAATTGCAAGAAACTATTGTTTCCATTTTGGATCCCTATCTGGATCAAAATTATCATATGCTTTTCATATCACAGACTTCTTGTGCCTGTTTGAGGAGGAACGTTTACAGAGATTAGTAAGGGGCTAATTTAAATGAGGCAAAATCTGAGTTACCTTCATGTTAATAGTAGATACTTACTCTATAGTAGCATGGATATTCTTCATAAAACTGGAATTCCTATTAAAAATGATAATAGCATGTTTTTAAAGTTCCCAATTTCCAAGCAAACTAAACGTTTCTTTACTCTCTTCTTTTACCACCTGACCAGGGTATTTTTCCGTTCGGCCAACCTACATGACAAATACTTGCCTTTCCACTGGTGTCATTATCATCTATGATGAGGTGAGCAGATTCAGATGGTTTTGCCAGTGTTATCATTGCCTTTCGGAGGACATAATGGTGCAGCTTTTCTAAGAAGTTTATTGCTTTCCTCAAACCTCTTGTTTTCAGAACTTCTTCCATATATTTCCTACAAACAGAAACCATTTATTCAATGTTTAATTGTGATTCAGAGATTCAAATCTAAATAACTGAGAAACAACTAACAATGGCTAATTTTAGTGCTACAAAATTCTGTTCATAAAAATCTAAAAAAAGGAAAAGATCATATAAATTTATCCTTGATGGTGGCATTAATGAGGCAGAATTATTTAAGTGTGATGCCCCTGTATCCTGGGTGGTTGCTATCTGTTATAAATCTAGTGGACATCAACTTGATGGTAGGAACTTGAACAGTACTGCCAATGGTATAAAATTAATAGATATTGTAATTAAACTAGCAATCCTATCAAAATTAGTGAGTTTCATGAAAATTTATGACATAACATAGGTTTCATGAATGCCTACAACTTTTCTTATCAGATACTTTTCTTCCAGATAAACACTTACTGAGATATATCCAAAAATGCATTCAGGGATTCAAGTGAAATGAATTAAAAATAAATTAAACTCACATGGGTAATACTAAAGTATACTGCATAATGTGCCAAAGCATTCAATAAGATACAAGTGAAAGTTAATTTATTAGACTCCTGTAAAGCAGTGATTAAAATGAAATAAAGTGGCTCAGACCTTCAGATGTTAACACTTAAAATCTGGCCATGTGCTGCACTGCTTTGTCTCAGCAGGAAGCTGACAACAGTACAAACAGCACATAAGAGTAATGTGAAATGGTGTCGCCTACTATTTGCTATGCCTGTTTGTATACTGCCTCTGTCAATGAATGGCAACATTAGTAAGACTTTTTCAACATTTCCTTTCAAAACACAGCTAAAAATATGACTTGGAATTTATGCTATCCTATTAATGATGGGATAGGCATAACGAATTAAGAACGTTACATGTAGGGTGGTATGCATGACGATAATAACAGGTTCTAAATTGGATGATTGGATTTATTAGCAATTCGGTTACACTCTCTCTCTCTCAATTACAATTAATACAGCTGTATTGCTGATTTGCTCACTTTCCAGGTTACTGGTGCACACGCACTAGGATTCTGTTTCCCCTAGTCATCTACTATAAACAGACCTCAACACAGAAACTAGCACTTCAAATCACTATGAAGTCTCTTTGCGATTTCTTGTTCAATCACATTGGAACCTCGGAACTCAACTAAAAAACTCTCCTAAACTCTTCAAGCTTATAACTGACTCATGACACGTAACTGCCCTGAACAAATTGTCACTCCCTTATAAGGCCATGGAATGGATACAGGCCTACAGTAAACACATATCACATGATCGCTACCCAGCCCGTCTATTGTCACGTCACTTGGATCTACAGAAAACACATCACACGGTCCCTATCCACTGTCGTGTGACATAACCGCGGACACGAAAAAACAGATTCCTCTATTGTTGTGTGTTGGACCGTGTTTACAGAGCTGTTGCCTGGCAATGCATTGATCAAATCCATTACAATATAAAGACATATTTGTTCCCTTCTACTAATAATCAAGCTGGGTTAATATATGATTTTCAGGGCTTGTTTATGTGTCAAGAAAATTGTAATCTAGGATGACTGTTAAGTCCTTACACATCTACTGCTATTGAATGCCTATCTACCATACCAATCTATGAATCAACATGCTAGGACACACAATACATACACTGAAATGTTCTATGCTCTTTACTCTGTCAGCATTCTAGTCCTACTGGTTCCAGATCTCTGAGCACATGGAACAGATCAAGTTTTACAAAACTGACTAATTAGTGGTCACACTCTAGTGTGTTATAGTAACTCAACAGAACCATCTCATTAATTCATTTTTACCAGCCACTGGGCTTGCTTGTTTTCAACAGTACGCTGACAATTTTGTTACTTATAAAGAAAGAGCTCATTGCAGAGGAAGTGAGAGTGCAAACTGTAATGTGACACAATTTTTATCAATCTAGAAACGTTTATCTTCTGCATAAATGCAGAGGGATGTAGCAATAATTCTGTTCTATCCTACCTATAAGGGTATGTTGATTCCTTTGAGGAACAAAATGTTGAGCCCATGCTTGCAATCGCTGATGCACTGTAAAAATCTATCACTGGGCATGCTGTAAGTTCCATTCCTCCATCTGATGATGAGGTAGTAGTCGTACCATGTGACAAATTTGAATTATTTGAATCTGATGGACTACTGCTGTCTACATCAAACTGAATAGTTCTGTTATGAAACCGGAATGGTTTCCCTTCAATTGAACCACTGCTGTAAAACACAAATGCATTAAGCTACAGGAGGGCTCTACAGGACATATAAGCATCTATAAAAATTACACACTTTTGAGGCCCTGTCAGAAAGAATGACCAGTAAGATGTGAGAACCATTATATGCATAAAAGGTTATTAATAACAAAACCAACTGAAAACCTAGAAAATACTATTGGTTTAAATCATAAAGCAATTAAAGAGTTCTAAAACATTACACCATGCAGTCCAGTGAAAGATAGTTCATTCATTCATTCATTCATTCATTCATTCATTCATTCATTCATTTCCTTTATTTTCCATATATCCATACAGGTAACAAACCCAGGATAATTTAAAAATAACTTACTATACAACTTGAATTAATACAATTTTATTTAAATTACCTATATATTAACTGAATTAAATACATTACAAATTTACATGCTTATGACCAATTATGTTGATAATATTCATTCATGTAACAAAAAGAATGATGATATAAAAACCTCTTCAATGCAGATTTAAAACTTCTCACATCAGTAGCCACCATTTTTATTGTTTGAGGAAGATGATTAAAAACTTTAATACCTGATATGTACGCACTTTTATTGTATTTTGTTAGGTTAACTGCAGGTAAATATAAATTATTGAGGGCTCTAGTTTTGTAATTGTGAATTTCATTGTTAAAATTAAATAAATGTTTATTATTAATTGTGTATAAAAGTAATGAATATATGTACTGAGAGTAGAACATCATTATTTCCAAATTCTTAAAAATGTCCCTACAAGACTCTCACGGTCTAGAATTCGTTATAATTCTAATAACTTTCTTTTGCAATATAAAAAATCTGTTAACACAAGAAGAGTCAGCCCAAAAAATTATACCATAACTTATGATAGAATGTATATGAGCAAAATAAATTAGCTTTAACGTATCTAAAGGTGCAATATATTTTATATGCCTCATTGCATAACATGCAATGGAAATTTTATTAATAACATAATCAATATGCTGTCTCCACGAAAGAGTATCATCAATAATTAATCCCAGAAATTTTGTCTCAGTCACATTTGTTAAATTTATCTGATCATAGTTAATTTGAGTAGTGATAATATAATAATTCATGGGTCAAAACTGGACATATTGAGTCTTATTAAAATTCAAGGTAGGCAAATTAGCATTAAACCATGTATTATAAGTCTGATTAAGATTTATTTCAAAGTTTAACTTATTAGTGTCAGTTACTGTAATACTGGTGTCATCTGCAAATAATACCATATTATTATTTTATGTAAATCATTAATATAAAGCAGAAAAAAAAACAAGGGACCAAAAATCGAACCCTGTGGAACACCGCATTTAATTGGTTCCCATTTGGATGAGTTGTTACTGTCAATTCTATTACTCAATACAACTCTTCGATATCTACCTGTCAAGTAAGATCCAATAAGTGTTTTGAATTTTCCTTCAATTCCATAGAATTTCAATTCCAATAATATTTTATGGTTAACACAATCAAACACCTTTCGTAAATCATAAAAAATGCCTTCCACCATTAACTTATTATTCATTGCAGTTAAAATATTATTTAGCAATGTAAAAGCTGGCTTCTCAGTCAGGGAGTGTGTCTTAAAACCATATTGTTCATGAACCAACAGATCATCTGCTTCAATATGAGTAATAAGTCTCACATATATGTTTTTTTCAATGATCTTAGAATAATAAGTCAACAATGATATAGGTCTATAGTTGGATATATTATGAGTTTTCTCTTTTTTTAAATAGTGGTTTAACTATGGCAAATTTTAATCTATCAGGAAAATACCAGTATCAAGTACTGCATTACAAATATGAGTAAGTGGAGAAATTACAAATGGTGAACTTAACTTTATTATTCTGTTTGAAATTTCATCATATCCACTTGAGTTTTTAGTCTTTAATGATTTAATCATTTCTTCAATTTCATAAGTGGAGGCATATTGCCAATTCACTTTTGTAAAAGGTCTACTAAATGTATTTACTAAGTAACTGATTGGATTTGATGAATTGGAGCTTATATACGTTATTTATTATTATCTGATATAACAGAATCAGCTATAGATACAAAATGTTTAATAAAAGCATTTGCAATTTTGTTCTGATTCATTATTACTTTATTATCTACCATTAAGGAATGAATACCTTTATCCCTTTTTATTTTCCTTTTAACCTCATTCATTATTTTCCAAGTACTTTTCATTTTATTATTAGAATTAAGAATAATTCTACTGTAATATGATTTTTTGCAGCTATAATTACTTTTGATAATATTTTACAGTATTGTTTATAATATATTTTAAGATTTAAATCACTAAAAAAAAGTAAAGCTATCCCTGTAACAGGCCATGAAGTTTGTCTCTTTCAACATTAAGGTAAGGACATAGACTGGAGGTGTTTGAGAACAGAGTTCTTAGGCAAGTATTTCAACTGAAGATGGATGAAGTGACAGTATTGGAGAAATCAGCATAATTAGGCGCTTCATAAATTTGGGGCCGTACCATAGCTTAAGCGGTTAGTCGCTTGCTTTCCACCGCGACAGCCTGGGTTCAATCCTGGGTCTGGACAAGTGGGATTTGTGGTGGACAAAGTGGCACTGGGGAAGGTTTTCTATGAGTACTTCGGTTTCCCCTGCCAATCTTCATTCCACCAGTTGCTCCACAATCACCCTCACCTATCAACTGGGGCTGATACAATAGGCCAGAAGTAGCCTCAGTACAAGGGATTTAGTCCCACCCCACTAGCAATAAAAAAAAAAGGATAGATCCAAATGTATTATTAGGTACAGTAATATTATTAAATGTTATGAGCTGTGCATCATGATCAGACAGACTGTTAATACACAGTTTAATGGTATAACTTCTTCTGTTATCAATAAATATATTATCTATCAAAGTGGCTGAATTATTGGCAATTCTTGTAGGGAAATATACAGCATCCCTTAGATTATAAGTATTTAACATTTCATCTAACTTTGATTTCCTATTATTATTTTCTAGATAATTAATATTGTAACGTGTTTAGTTACTGAAGCCACCGTTTGGATTGTTAATTGGTTTATTTAACAACCTACAAGTATCGGCTACAATTAATTACAACACTGTTGCGGGGTTTCACACTTTGTAACCCTATTCACAATAATCAATTCACTCTGTTCTCAGTAGTCTACACATATTAACTATGATACGGGAGCTATACAAGTGTCACTGTATCACACACTCCCAATTATTACTCAGTTATCACAAACTATCACTGATTATAACACACATGTCCGGTTCTTCTTTCCACGATGGCTGCTATATTCCAACTCAACTTGTAGGCTGCTGCCTTGAGAACTCACTTCGGCAGCTGATACACTTTTAACTGTGTCACTCCTGATCACACACTGACTGACTGCCGACTCACTTCCAACTGTCTTCGGCGGCTGTGTAGTTCCCTTATATAGTCGCAGTGCTTGCCTGTTAATCGGTACCACTGTTGCTTGACGCCGTGTTGACAGCGGCGTTGTGTGCCATGTCACAGTGCCGAGGGGGGGGATGGAGTGCTGACTCACCCGCCACGTTACCACGTCACTGCTGGGGGAGAGAGGGGTTGTCCTCCATTGCGCAACATGTCACAATATTTATGTCCCCACATAATATAAATTCCGAGTTATACCCATGAAGAAAATTAAGTATATAGTCCAGTTAGTTTAAAATATGGTAATAATCACCGACTGAGGCTCTGTATATATGGAGAATAATTACCTTTTTCTCATTAAGTTTTAATTGAATGGCCGCAATTTCCAAGTCCTTACAATATTTTTGTAGGTTTATAGCAGTAAAATTTAGATCATCTTGAATGAATATACAGACACCACCATTTTTTAACTTTTTCTTACAATATCTTGCACCTAATTTATGTTTAGGAATATGTGAAGCATCCGTTTCATAGTCCGTTAGATGACGTTCTGTGTTATGTCGTGGTGCAGGGGGGCGTGGAGGTACCCACCACTGTTACGTCGTAGTGGGGCGTGGAGGTATCCCCACTGCTTACACCACTGTTACGCCATTACGCCCTTATGACAGGGGTGGATGGGTTATCTCACCGCTGTCTCCACTGTTATGCCGCCGCTACACCACTATTATGCCGTGGTGACAGGGGGCGTGGAAATATCCCGCTCTGTCACCCGGTTTAGTCTGCTGCCACCATCTTGTTATATCAAGAAAACTAGTAAACTTATCCTTGCTTACGTCACTCTCCTGGCTTAACGCGTAATTCGCCAAAGCTTTGGGAGGTCCTGGAGTCGTCAGGGAAGAGGGTAACACTTAAGGAAATGCTAGGTTGAAGTAAACTCACACACATGCCTATCCTATTCTATTTCCCTATGTCACTATATACATACTATATACACTCTTACCAATGTTCATCGGTTATATTACAATGGATAATGAACCTGCAGCCATCATTAGTTCTACCTCCTGTCACCCTCTGGCGGGTATTCTATGCCTCCGTATCTCTGAATGAACCTAGTCCATCTAGTTAGCCTTATCCTTCTCCGGGGTTACACTTTACAATTATCACTATCACACTTAATGTTCATGGCTATATGAAGCTGGTTTCACTTACTTGAGTTGAGAAAACAGATGCTCGCCATCACCAACCAGCGCCCACTCACGGCCATCGCTCTCTCGGCAATAGCCTCCCGCTGAACTCTAAGTTACTTAATAATATTCAAAAGTCAAAAGGCAAAAGGTTAAAGGTTTTGTGATTAAGTCTTCTAGGGTTTATATAACCTCTCTTTGCTGATTCTTCGTGTTCCGGGTATATTGGCCTGCCCATTCTGACGTGATTTTGGGTCGGTGTGGCCCCCTCATTGGTTGCCTATCGAGAAGGGGTTGACTCTTTCGGGTCTACCACCTCCTCCGACTCAGCGTTTTCCTCCTGCCATAGTGTTTATGACCTACTTCATATAGCTTCTTCCTCAATGTCAGCGTTATTACGCTGCCGTGCTAGCATTCTAATGACTCAGGAATTGCCTGTTACACTTCTTTGTAAACCCAAGCTTCCTGGTTCGTTTCATCATGGCTGTTTCTTAATCTTACAGTCTAACTACTATTATTCCAAATTTACCCAAAAACTATATCTACAAGTACCTGACCTTTGCTTCATTACATTCTGTCAGACAAATTACACTCGGTTTCTCATTTAATAAAGATATCATTAACTCATTGATTTTCCCTTTTATTCCCATAATATTTTGATGAAATATCTTAAATAGGTTACTTACATCATCATTCTTATTACACGACTGATTACTTAGTTGTTCAAATACAATGTGCTTTTGTCAATTTTAAATTACTCCTGCCACAAAATATCCTTGCTTCTCATGATATTGGCTTTATTTTGCCTACTTGAGGTCCTACCATCTGATATTCTACCTACTTCTTCTACCGGAACCTCTTGGTCCGCAACGTGAGATATAACTTCATCGTCTGATGTGGCAGCTTTAGTATCTTCTTGTGTAATTATACGTAGGTCGTACCGAAAGTCATGAGCAACTTTTTTTTTTGCATGCAACCTGGTAACAGCAGACAAAAGAGAGTAGGGTGGTAGGTGGAACCAGCTGTTGTGTTAACCTTGAGTGTCTTGTGATGTCAATAGCTTGCATCATGTGGCTAGTATCATTCCTAACAAAATGGCCAACAACGATATGTCGTTTCGCCAGCGTGCTGTCATCAAATTTCTTGTGAAAGAGGAAATCCCTGCTGCAGAAATTCACCAGACTTCAGTGTGCTTATGGAAGTGTGTGCATGGGTGTGAGCAGTGTTCAAAGATGGGTGAAACATTTTTAAGATGGGAACACCAGCATCGAAGATGAGCCTCGGAGTGGCCATCCTCGAACAGCCTCAACTGAATGCAACAAGGAAAGAGTGGATGAGATCATTCAAGATGACAGGCATGTGACTGTGGACACAACAGCACGAAAACTTGGAATAGGGCACAGTGCAGTACATGAGATGACTGAAAGCTTGGGCTATAGGAAAGTTTGTGTTCGTTGGGTCCCACAGTTACTGACCGAAGACCACAAAGGTCAGCGAAAAGCCATCGCCTCAGAACTGTTGCAGAGATATCAACATGAAGGCGATTTTTTGCTCTGTATTGTGACAGGTGACAAAAGCTGGTTTCACCATTTCGAGCCTGAAACGAAATGGCAGAGTATGGAATGGCACCATTTGCATTCTCCATCAAAAAAGAAGGCAAAGACAGTGCCATCAGCTGCGAAGGTGATAGGCACAGTCTTCTGGGATGCAGAGGGGTTTATTCTGGCCGAATTCCTGGAACCTGGGCAAACCATCAATGTTACTCGTTATGTCCAGACGCTGCACAAGCTCCATCATGTGTTGCGCGATAAACATCCGGAATGAAACATCATCATCCTGCATGACAATGCAAACCCCCCACACCACTCACCTCACATTGGAAGCAATTGCAAAGATTGGGTGGGAAGTTCTTCCACACCCTTCCTATAGCCCTGATCTGGCACCCTCCGACTACCATCTTTTCGGATTTGTGAAGGATCAGCTGTGTGGACAACGTTTTGAGACAAGGGAGGCAATTCAGAAAGCAGTGCTTCAGTGTCTTCGGATGGCTGGAATGGAATTTTACAGAAGGGGAATTTTCAAACTCCCAGAACGCTGGGAGAAATGTGTACAAAGAAGTGGCGATTATGTGGAAAAATAAAGAAAGGTCTGTAGGTTGAGGTGGTGTATTTGGTTTATCAATAATAAAGCATGTTACTTTACGAAAAATTGTTGCTCATGACTTTCAGTATAACCCTCGTATTATCCCCACTTGAAGTATAATTTACCCCATCCTCATATTCAGTTTTCCAGTACAATCTGATTGGTTCTTCTATTTGATTTTGAAACGTTGTAGTACCAACATTAGCCATTTTTAACACTGCTTTTTCTTTGCCTACATTTTTCATATGCAGACCATGTTTAGTAAAAAAATTCCCTTTTGGGATTTACTTTTACCACCTTAACATGTTTGAAAGGCTTCATAAGTTTCACTAGTTTTCTATTAAAGTTTTTCAGATCACTGTTCATGCAAGACCAGTCAGATACAGCATACCAATGTGGGACAATCACCAAAACAATGTTCGTATGACTATTAATTTCCACAAAATCCACTGTGTGTCTCAATCCATCTTGGGAATTATTTCTGCCAACATCATTAGTACTTCCCCAAAAGACAATTACATCCTTGTTGGTTTCACAAAACCATTAATCTTGTAACTGTCTTTAAGACTATGTTTCATATCAGCTGCACAGCCTCGGGCATGACTATCCCCGATGATCACCATTTTCCATCATTCATTTTGTTGAGCACTTCCTTTTAGTTTATGGTTTATATCCTTCTTATTTCTTTCCACTGGCATTTGCCCCTTAATAATAACTGGAATCGGATATGTTAAATCATTTATATGTGACTGCTGATTTCTGTGATCACTATTATTGGTACAAAACTGAGTAGAGAGTCTCTTTCTGACGAGAGCTTCTTGTGTTCCCTCCTTGTTGAGGTTATGAAAAACCTCAAAATGATTTGCAGCTTTTATAGTTTGTGGTGCAAATTGCTTTTCCACAGCTTTTATTATTCACTGGTTAGAATAATCCTTCTTCTTTATGTACCTTCATCGGACCTGCATTCCCTGACTTGTCTTGCACAAATTCTCTCTTTAAAGTGTTCATATCTTCTTGCAGAAGAGCAATAATTTGAGGCGCAGATATCAATTCCTGTGACACAGTTTGGAGTTCTACATTCAATAATACACAATTAACAGAATTTATATCATGTTTACCACTTGAAAACTTGTGATGATTAGCTACACTATGCTCAGCACTCATAAGCACATCCGCCATCTTGCCTCAACTGAGTCAACTGACATTTCAGAGAACATGTCACCTACATCTTCTGGGCTGAAGAGGAAGTCAAGCAAGCACTCCGCTGGCTGCCTGCTTCATGCAGGATTTCTTCCCGGTCTATTCTTCAGAACTGGAGATGGAGGTGACATTCCTCCAAAATGATGACTTTCACCAGCCTACACGGTGACATATTCCAGAAGAGGAAACTCCTCATAACAACTGCTACAAAAACTTGAAATCACCTATATGAAGCATTTCTTCAAATATTTCTCTCAACTTGAACTTCTCAAATGTACTTTAAAAAATAAAACCGAAAAGAACAAAAATGGTCATTTTCACCAGAGAAAAGTAAGTAAATTGAGTCTCTGCAACATCAGGGAAAGAATTCCTACAAATTCTGGGCAAGAGAAATGTCTTCTGCAAAATACCAAAGGATAAAGCAAACAAGAACTAAAATTTGTTATCACTAGCTTTCTGAACTTCATTCATCATCCGACATTAAACGATGGAAAACAACATTTGGGGAACTGGATCGTCTACCATCCTCAAAGGACGGGTACCTATTCCATTAGAATGGGGTAATTCCAGTGACTGGCATAAGATCTTTTTAACAGCAACGAACTCACTACGAAGCCCTCACCTAAGGACAGGAACAGATCCAAAAAGTTAGTATACAATACATATTACTGTCAGAACCCTTTAGAATGATCACATTCATGAGCATATTTTGATGGTGAATCTGGAGTTATTGGAATTTGATACAGGATGCTTAAAATGTGTAGTTCAGACTTTATGTCATAATAATCTGTTATATTAGGAACAGAATAAAGCTATGAATCCAACAAAAACGTTCTACATGCTGAAAAAATAGACATATTCCATTCCAAGGAAACATATGCAAATGTTTCCCATTAAAACACTGCCTGTCTGAGCATATGTCTGCATGGTTTAATCTATTCATGTGAACAGAGGGGCAGTTCATATTACTCTCTGTAAATAGTGTAAAGTACCTGCAAGTGCTTTATGTTGTACCAGGTACAATACATAAATTAATCTACTGGCAATAATGAGTGAAAAGTGTAAAGAATGAAGAGTACTATCTTCTGAAATGTTGCGCAGTGTAGTCTGGTCAACATTTAACAACATTTTGGAGGAATGTGCTACCTCCAACTTCAAGATAACTGCCTGCTGCTTGCTTGGCTTAATCTTTGACCCTGAAGATGGATACAGTAAACGCCACAGTCACTATAGAAGAACCTCAAAACCCATGCTGTGGAAAGAATGTCTGAACAAATTGCAGAAAAACAGAAAACTCACTGACTTTAAGCATTCATGCAATGGGATGGCTTCATCAGGATGGTGACTGGGCTACAGGCTGGACACTTAAGTAACTGGGGTTCAATTCCCAGGAGGGGCAGAAATTTGTCTCTTCTCCCTAGCACCATGATAGGCTCTGGTGGCCACCCAGCCTCATATCCAACAGGCACTCAGGGTAAAGCAGTTGGAGTTTGAAGCTGGCCACTCACCTCCAACTGGTACCAATGTTAATATATGAAGCAATACTTCCACTTCCCCATGTCTTTAAGGCATGGTACATAATTAAGCAAGCAGACAACTTTTACTTTTATAAATGCAATGGGAGGAATATAAACTAAGCACATATCATATTACTGCTACTCAAGGGGAAGTTTTAATAAGACCTGCTTAGACTTCAACAGGCATGCCACAACAAATGGTAAGTTATGATTTAGAGTCACTCAGACTGTAAAATGATGTACTTAACTGGACTGAGAGAGTATATTAGAGTTGAAGTTCTGATAGCAGCAGCTACGAAGAGTAGTATCTTCTGAGTGTGACACCATGTAGTCTGGTAAAGGAAAGGTATGCAGTTCTTTTCAAGATGTGTAACACCACATCAAACAAAATATGTTACTGTTGTTCAGTAACTTACCTGGCAGCAGGATGCATATCATGGTAAGAACTATCGTCACTCACATCCGTTCCCACACCTGATGACACATTTGGGTCATCTTCATTGAAGGGTCCTACTTGAGGCCAATTGTAATTTTTTGGTTGATGAAGATACATGAGCTTCCCAATGATCAACATTTTAAGACGGTGATGTTTTGTCATGTTGTACCATAAGCACATTGCCTGCAGGATACAAGAGACCTTTATTTATCTCATTCTTTACCTCTCAGTCAGTACAGTGATTACACTACAGGATAGATGAACAAGCAATAAGGGTTCAAATTATAGTGGGGGGGGAGGCACATGGTAGAATAGTTGGTTGCAGCACTGTGCTACAAGCTGGAAGGTTGCAAGTTAAATTCCCGATGAGATCATTGGATTTCTCAATTGACCTAATTCTTCCAGCCACATTATGGCCCTGGGGTCGACTCAGCCTCTAAAAGAAATGATTACCAGGAATCTTCCTGGGGGTTTCCTGGGTTTCTGGACTTTCTCCATAATCTACTATTCCAAACTAAACCTCACACTTGTACCTAAGAAAAGCAGCAGACCCAGTTTCCCAAACAATATGTTCTGTTTGGAGTACCAGACAGTGGATAAAGTCCACAAAACCAGTAATCCTAAGTGTAATATATCACTGTAAGAACTCTTTAGAACTGACTTCAAACTCTCCACTATAACGGTAATTATCATATTCCTTACTTTAACAGGGATATGCAGCAGCACGGTTGGTTGAGGTACTATGCTACAAGCCAGAAGGTTGTGGCTTTGAGTCCTGATGAGGTGAATTTTTTTTTCAATTTAACTAATCCTTCCAGCTGCACTATGGCCCTGGGGTTGACTCAGCCTCTAACAGAAATGAGTGCCAGGAATATTCCTGGGGGTAAAAGGCAGCTAGCATGTAAGGCTGACAATCTTACTGCCATCTATGAGCTGACTGTCTAAAGAAAATGTTGGAGCCTTGACGTCTCACAACCTTATGGGCCTTCACAGCCTGTTATAGGGATAGCTTTACCTTTTACCTTACTTCAACATAAAGGTAGAACATACACTCTTCACTAGCATGTACAAGTTGGAGGAAGTGTTGACAAGTCAGTCCCATAGAATCCTATTTCAGATTAGTGTAGTTTGACAAATCCTCACCTTGACCCTTCCTACAAACTGTGAGCATTTATAGAGAGGATGCTGGGATGCAAATGCTTTGCTTGATGGATAGAGGGCTTCAGCAGCCTCCAGTCTTTGAAGTAATTTCTCCACATCCTTCAGTGCCTGGTTCTGGATATCCACACAGCTGTGGCAGTACATGGAGAGGCAGCCGGCACACATACATTTGTTGTTTTTGTTGTTCAAAATACTACATGGCTCGCAACAATCCTCTCTTCCATCACCGCTAACACCACTGTCACTTGACTGAGTGGAGACTGGTGGTGCTGGCAGCTGCACGGAGTCACCTTCTAATGTCGACACAGGTGCTGGTATTACTTTTGGCTCAAATCTTTAAAATACATAATTTACAAAATTGAAAGAAATCTGACAAACATAAAAATCAAATAATAAGTCCGAGAAGGTTCATTTTGCCAACATACTTCTTATGTGAAGTCGCCATGTGAGTACATCTAATTTTGTTCTTACATTACTGAGATACCATTAAATACTATTAAAACCCCAGCATGTTTCAGTCACAACTTACCTACTTCAGAAGGAATGCCAGGTTTAAGGAAACTTCACAATCTATATGTATGAATAAAATATTTTAAAAGTAGAAATTTTTTGTAAAATATTGAAATTATATTAAATTTCAAAGATGTGTGGCGTACATGGCAGTGTAGCTAGTTGAGGCACTATGCTACAAATTGGAAGGTCATGGGTTTGATCCCCGATGAGGTCATTGGATATTTCACTTAACCTACTCTTTCCAGCCACACTACGGCCCTGGGTTCAACTCAGCCTCTAACAGAAGTGAGTACCAGAAATCTTCTTTCAGGGTAAAGGGTGGTCAGCACGTAAGGCTAACAACCTTACCGCCATCTGTGACCAGACTGTCTAGATAGAAGACGTGGGAGCCTCAACCTCTCACAACCCTATGAGGTTTCATGGCCTGTTACCTTTCTTTTTAAAGATTCAAACCATTGTCAAGTGTACCCTTCTTGATAAATGGTGTGTCAGGCATCCGACAATGGTTCACATCACTGAACTGTAATATAATATCAGTTGAAAATGTTCACAAAAATTTTAGGACTTGGTGACATTTTAAATCTTGTATTCATATATTTAAACTGTAAAGTTTCCTTTAATATCTGGTATCGCCTCCTGAAGATTTCACTTATGACTGAAACATGCCAGGACCTTCATAGTACTTCATCAGCATGAGAAAATAAATTAGATATATTAAGATGGTGACTTCACATCTTATTTTGACAGAATAACAACTTCCTCCTTTCCTTTCCTTGCCTTACCTCACTTCACACATTTTCATATCCATAATTTATCTTCTACATCAATGGAACACAACTTCTTTTTAATTCTGGTAACATTAAGAGTCTCCAGCGACCACACATATGCAAAAGAAATGTCATGCAGTTTTAAATTGTAATTCATTGACAACATGTATTGACATTTCCTGTGGAGTGTGTCTAATGACAAAGCCTTCTCCAATTCTTCCATCATGTTATGCATAATATACTACTTGCCTAGTTTTGACACATGGAACAGAAATTCACGCATGCACTAAGCACATCACAAGCTACAGAGGTGAAGTTGCTATGGGGTATTTAGAAATTAAGAGGGAATAAACTCATGGTACCAGGGAACATGACATAAGACAGATATTTAATACTTCTAAATATTTATTATACATTTAGACATGAAAAATAATTTAATTTAATTTTGTTATAGAACATCCATATTAACATACCATACTTTTAAATAACTAGTAACACAATGTGATAACCATCCACAGGCAGACTGGGATGGGAAGATGTGAACTTCGAACTGAAAACAAATGTGTACTGACAGTTCAACTATGAATCCTTCAGGAGTTCCTCAGCCTTGGGGATAAAGGTATGAGTAATGTTATATTTCAGGATCCTGTTACACTGTATAGATCTGAATTCAGAGCTTTTGTGCCATTTACATGCAACATTGTTCACTATTCTTTCTTCATATTCCTTTATTGGATACTACATGTTTCGGTCTATCTGGCCATCTTCAGGTGTACAGGTTGTTATGGTTAAACTGAGCCGATCTCTTCGGCTCACTGGATGTGGTGCCCTCTCTGAGCGACATGGCCTAGGCTCCTACCATTTGTTTTCCTACATCCCTTACCACTTCTCCTTATTCCGTGGCGCATCTTACGTCACCACCCTCGGTCTTTCCTGATTCGGCTGAGGCACCAGCTCTCTTCTGCCTGGAACGTCGTAGCAAACGGACGTGTCGCTCCGTGAGAAATTTCTGTTTAGGCCGGCGCCCGGAAATTCGATTTGGCAGTAGACTCCAGGCAGGAGGGCCCATCTCAGGTAATATCCATGATTGTTGAGTCTTAGCAGACTCTGTAAGCTTCTTTTGGATTGTTTTTGTTGGAGATGGAATATTGTAGCGTCTGCTTCACGTAATATGTCTTACTCGCCGCCTGTGGCGGAGAAGGGCGTGGTCTCCGAGTTGTGTGAAGAGATCACGGGCCCGGGTATGCCTAATTATTGTAATGTTTCTTTTTGGTAGTATTTATTTTACTCTGTTATTAAATGTTTATTGAATTGACTGTTTACGTCAGTTGTGTTTTTATTTGGTCGTCTTGGAAATAATATAATACAGTTATAAGACAACCTCTCCCCCCCCAACTAGTAGGTGGGGGCCCAAAACAACCATGTGCAACCCAAGTACACCTGAATAAAACTGAAAGTAATCCACATAACCAAATGAACCAGAGGCAACTACAATAGATGGAAAGAAATTCACATTACAGTGAACAGCAGAATCCTTAACTATAACAACCTGTACATCTGAAGCTGGCCAATTAGGCCAAAATATGCAGTGTCCAATAAAGGAATACAAAGAAAGAACAGTGGATGATGCTGCACATAGATGGAACAAAAGCTCCAAAGTAAGAAGTAAAGCTGAAGTTGTCCCTGTGCTTAATTAATTAAGCACCACACCATGAAGACATCTGGAAGAGTGGAGGTATACCTACACCATTCTTAACCTTCAACATTCAATAGAGGTGAGTGGACAGCTGCATGCCCTGGCCGCATTACCCCCCAAGAAAGTGCCCCCAGTACCCACTGGATAGGAGATTGGGTGGACCCAGAACCAGTCTGGACACTATGGAGAATAGAAAAATCTCTTGCCTCTGACAGGAATCAAACACCACAGCCCACAGCCCTTCGTTATAACAAGTGAGCTATTCTGACTCCTTCTCAGCCTTGAAGGGAAAGATTTCAATGTTGTTTCAGATGGAAAGTCATACTACTTAGAAGAAATTCATGAATGACCAAATGTTGCAGCTTAGAGATAAGCAGTCCTCCTTCGCATCTGAGAGGTCCTGTCTTCAAATCTAGGCTCAGTAACCAGTTAACCTGAAACTTCTGTGATTTTCTTCAGGCCCTGAACAAAAATTCTGAGAGATAACCTAACCCTTTGTTTCTCCTAACACAGTACATATAGCAGAATGTTATTTAATATATAAATACTCAGATAAAATGGGCAGATAGCATCACACACTAGCGTTTTAAATGGGGCAGGCGAAGGATTAAAACAGGAAGAAACAACTTCCTTCCATTTGACATTCTATAACTAATGCAGTTCAAGAGGCATAGATAAATAAATGAAGGATCAATAGATCAAAAACTGATTACAAACTAAACACACTGCATACAGAGCAATCAACCCTATAAAGATAAAATTCAAACACTTAAAAAGCCAAATACAAACTTTTTATCAGCTGTATGTGTTTTTGACTGACTGATTAACTCATTTTAGTCAAAGCACTAGTAATTCATTCTGATCAAAGCTCAATAACCAGGATTCTAAAAATTCTAACGCACATATCGTGGCAAATTAATTGAGATAAATTGAAAGCATAAAAATATTTGCACAAAGTACAAGGCAAGATTGTGGGTGTATAATTTTTTTCAAATGGATAGTAGAATTAAACTGTATTTCTGAAGACTTGCTATTAATTAAATTTAGAACCAGCCTAACTTAATTTATGGATTTACCTGTAGACCATAATGTCATTCAGCAGATCTGCAACATGCTGTCTAGCTTTGCATAAATAATCATCTTGCTCGGTGGGTGTTCTGTCTGCATGCCACGCTTGCAGTTCTAACCAGATCAGGTCCTTTAATTCATTCTGCCACAAATGTTCTTCTCGGCTCAACTGAGAACAAGATAAATTCCATTAAACTTACAATATCTGTTACAGAATAATACCAAAAATAAGTTCTGTACAAGAGGACTGGAAGTGCAAACAATTTGATCAAATCTTAGAAACACTTTCAGCTGAACTGTACAACTTCTAACATTATACACTGCAAATAGGTTGCAGCTGATATCAAATTAAACATCCTTTCTACATTAAATACATAAACAAAAATAAGTGAGGAATTTAAGATTCTTGCAATATTTTTCTACAGATATGGGGTAGGACCTACAAACAATAATCCACAATATAAGGCAGTCCTAAATGCTTTGGTACATCAATGGATCATTTTCACAGTCTAAATAGATGCTTGTAGGACATACTCAAGGTAAAAGCCATCACAATTAAGGCACTCCTCAAGTTGTTGAATATTTTTTTTTTTTTCAAATATCCTTTGAATAAGCCAGATTTGAAATTCTCACCGCAGTGATTATGGGGTGTGACACTGCATAGGAAAGAGAACATGACTACCTCACATCACATTCCAGATGGCAGTAACTGTCTTCTTTTGAATAGTATCATGTGGATTGCTCTGGAGTACACATGTGACATTTTCCTACACATCCTGCAGATTTCTTGTATGGGAACACAAAAACTGCTTTCTTTTAAAAATCCCCATAGGTTGACATCTATCTGAAATATGAAGGGTGTAAAGGACAAGGAAATTTGACTTTCCTGGGTATATGGCACCCTGCAAAAGCCTACCATGTACATCCCACTTCAGTCTCTTCAATGTGATTGGAATAAACGTTCCACAGTAAAAGCCTTCTCAAACACACTGGCTGCATTCTCAAGGGTAACTCACCTGACAATAAACACAAAGAAAGCAACAACTATCTCTGACATCCAGGAAGAACATGAATCCTGAACATGTACCCTCATCGAGGAAACGACTTTACACCAGGCTATATTGTATTACCATTTAGTATGTACTGAATTATAACAAACTCAGGAAAGCTTTATCCATGAACTGAAATCAGCATTAGAGTCTATCTATCCTTCGAGATACCCAGTCAAGTAACACTGACAGTGGTTACATTTCTGTAGACCTCCATAATTTGTGAGCCTGCATACTCCATGGTTTCAGGTAGAGAAATTAGGTTCCTCCATCATACATGATGGCTCCTACTCACTTAAAACAAATACATCTTCTTCCAACTGACAGCAACATCTATATAAATAAAAATGTAAATGTTCGTTTGTTCAGGATCTTAAATCTCCGAAAGTTCTTCACCGATTGCTTTGAAATTTTGACACAATGTTGCATTCAAATGCGCGCGTTTTTATACACCCATTATATAGATGTCACACCTGTGACAGGTAAAAACATGCTTCTTTTGAAAAACAGAATTGGAATTTGGAATTTGGAATTCAGAAGAGTCACCCCTATGGAAACGCTAGAACAGACCGTTGCATAGGAAGTAACAATAGCGATACTGTATCAAATCTCCACGGTTATGACGAATACATGGAGCGTTCCCACAGAGACAACGCAATAACAACGGGTCGTTGCATAGGAATCGCGGAATCAACAAAGCAGCGTTTCCGCGGTTATGACAAAGGCTCATTTGCATAGCAGCGGCCGAGGGTATAAAAGGGGGTTGAATTCATTCGCCCAGTCAGTCTTGGAATAGCTGCCGCTGAAGAAGGTTGGAACCTAGACACCAAGAGATACAGAAGTATTGGCCGAGAGATTGTGTAACCAGTAACTCTAATACTGCAAGTGGCGATAATTGTAAAGTGTGCAAGTGAATTACAATAAAGATTCGCTATAATTAATACGGCATAAAGTTATTTGTAGCGTGACATACCCAAACACGCTACATGCATTACTGACGCGTACAACACATCACATCCACATCAAATTCGTGCATTGTTTGCAATCATATTGATCGCCTACTCTCCTTCATCTCCAACAGATTTATGGGAGAAATATAAATTGCACATGGCTGAAGATATTTTCCGTCGAATACGCAAGGAAAATTCCAATATGAACATTGATTTCACAGCAGAAATCTACAATGCAGCATTGATAATGATTGAAGATTTGTGCTTAGAAATCGCGAACAAAGTTCTCAATTGATTGGGAATGCCATCACCGAATTGGATCCGCTGCTGCTTCGTTCAATGTAGAATTGCATCGTGAACAAAATTACAACACAGGTGATCTTTTATCGTATGTGCAATCAAATATTCCTAAGCTAACGCTTGAGCAAAAAGGCATTTAAGATCAAATAATGCAAACTGTCAATAACGGGGTTGCAGAATTCTTCTTCTTAGATGCGCCAGGAGGAACTGGTAAAACGTTCCTAATTAGATTGATTCTGGCAGCAATTCGATCCCAAAATGACATAGCCTTAGCTCTTGCATCATCTGGAATAGCTGCAACATTGCTACCGGGTGGAAGAATTGCTCATTCCACTTTGAAATTGCCACTGAACATGCAATTCACTGAAACTCCCACGTGGAACATTTCCAAAGCATCAGGCATGGGAAAGGTATTGCAGAAATGCAAACTTATTGTTTGGGATGAATGCACAATGGCGCACAAAAAATCGCTCGAGGCTCTTCATCGATCACTGCAAGATTTGCATGGAAACATCAGACCATTTGGGAACGCATTAATATTGCTTGCAGGAGATTTCAGGCAAACATTACCTGTAATTCCTCGATTGACACCAGCGGATGAAATAAATGCTTGCCTGAAATACTCTACTTTGTGGCGACACGTAAAGACGTTAAAATTAACTACAAATATGCATGTCCAGCTGCAAAACGATTAATCAACTGAGATATTCTCACATCAATTGCTGGAAATTGGGAACGGAAAGGTGCCGGCTGATCTGACCTCAGGACGAATTTCGTTGCCTCATAACTTCTGCAATTTACTGACGTCAAAAGAAGAATTGGTTGAAAAAGTATTTCCCAATATTCAAACCAATTATAAGAATTACGATTGGCTGAGTGAACGAGCTATTCTTGCGGCCAAGAACAAAGACGTCTACGAACTTAACAATATCATTCAGTCTTAACATTCACTGCGAGGCAGTCACATACAAATCCGTCGACACCGTTGTGGAAGCAGATGAAGCAGTTAATTATCCAACAGAATTTTTTAATTCACTCGATCTGCCACAGCAACGTGTGGCCGGGTACAGCTAGTTTTGTAATAAATATTTTCAGTGGAGTACAACAATTAAGAGTGCTTCTGGCAGACAGTGATTTATGACATTGCATTTACTTACTTACTTACACATGGAGACGAACCCTTATTGAGGAGCTGCCTATTCTGCAGCTACTCAGGAATTTCCTAGCATTTTATGGAACCCAAAGGTTCTTTACTGTGTTCACAAGAGCCCTCCACTGGTCTTTATCCTGAGCCAGATCAATCCAATCCGTTCTATCCCATCATCTCTCTCTAAGAGCCATTTTAATATTGTCCACCCACCTACACATTGGTCTTCCAAGTGGTCGCTTTCCTTCGGGCTTTCCCACCAATATCCTATATGCATTCCTCATCGCCATCATTCGTGCTACATACCCTGCCCACCTCATCCTCCTTGACTTGACCATTCTAATTATACTTGGAGGAGAGTACACGTTATGAAGCTCCTCATTATGCAGTTTTCTCCAACCTCCTGTCAATTCATCCCTCTTCAGTCCAAATATTCTCAAAACCCTGTTCTCAGACACCCTCAGTCTACGTTCCTCCCTTAATGTCAGAGACCAAGTTTCACACCCATACAGAACCACAGGCAAAATTATAGTTTTGTATATTCTAATTTTTATTTTTTTGGACAGCAGACAAGAAGACAAAAGGTTCTGGACTGAATGGTAGCAAGCATTACCCGAGTTCAATCGCCTCTTAATTTCCTCCTGAATCAGGTATTGATTTGTTATTGTTGTGCCACATGTTCAAAAAATCTGTTCCCTATCTTTATGCCATGATTCTGCACTGCATTTTGGTGACGAAACAGCAACATATACTTAGTTTTCTCTGTGTTTACTTCTAGACCAACCTCCTTACTTGCGTGAATAAAAGTTCGTGTGTTTTTATTTTTGGTATTTATATAACCCAGTAGATTCACATCATTGGCGTAGACCAACAGCTGATGTGTCCCATTTAATTTCAGTCCCACCTGGTTTTCCTGGACCTTCCTAATGGCATTATCTAAACCAAAGTTGAAAAGGAGTGGCGATAAAGCATCTCATTGTTTTAGGCCATTCTGGATATGAAATTTATCAGACAAATGTTTACCTACATGAACTTTACTCTACTTTTCGTTTAAACACATTTTAATCGACCTAACTAGTTTCATGGGTATCCCAAACTCTATTAGAATATTGTACAATACTTCCCTCCTAACTGAATTGCAGGCTTTCTTGGAGTCTCATCGTACTCCCATTTTTTCTTAAATATCTGGCGAATGCAAAAGATCTGATCTGTAGTTGATCTGTTACATCGAAACCCACACTGATGATCCCCAACAATTTCATCTATATATGGACTAAACCTTGAGAGATGAATATTGGATAAAATTTTCTAAGTTCATAGCAGTGATATCCCCGATAATTATTACGGTCTGTTTTATCACCCTTCTTGTGAACTGGTACAATAATAGACTCCTTCCACTGATCAGGCAATTTTTCCTTATGCCAAATAGCAGTATAGCTCTAGTACTTATAGCTGACAGTAGAGGAAAAGCTGTGCAGTGGATGGGCAGGTCCACTCGTGAAAGTTGAGGGGTGTTGTGATTAGTCATTCGTCTGCATTCAGTGCAAGCGGACGTCCCAAGAGCATTCTTCCTTGTACAGTCCAGTTAAAAATTTTGACTCTAGGAGTCATATTTGAGTGTATTATTCTCTAATTGCTGCATTAATATTGTGACGCGTTACCTTACGTCCATCGCCACGCAACGGCTACAATGGAAACTGTTGAGTTCCAACAGCGACAAATC